TGCCCAGGCGGGTCTCAAACCCGCGGGCTCAGGCAATCCACTCACCTCAGCCTCCCAAAGGCGCGGGATTACAGGCTGAGCCACCGAGCCCGACTGATTTCATTTCTTAAGCAGCAAAAAAATTTTGAAGTTTGTATTTTTGGAAATCCCATGAAACGAAAAGTATAATTACTTAACTGTACTCATTTTTTCTCTTGACAAATATTCTATAAATGATGTCCATAATACAGTAAGTCCTCCGTTAATGTTGTCAACAGGTTCTTGGAAACTGTGACTCTGTGCAAAATACAGTGAAATAATTTTTTTCTCTCAACTTGAGAACAAAATGACACTGAATCAAATGATGTTATTCCATGACCTACTATGTATCACTCTGCTTGAGGTCAAAGTTTCCAAGAACTATTTATAATGTTAAGTGAGGACTTACTGCATAACAGAACTTTTTTCATGATTTGTATATTACTCAAAGACAGATGTCAGGAGAAGTAAAAATAAAGAAATAAGAGAAAGTTTTAAACAAACATAATTTGATTTAAATCTGTTTAATTCTAAACATGTATTATTTCTTCTTAAAATGCTAAAAACACAAGTGAAAGGCAAAGTAAAACAGGTATTCTGAAGAAATGACAGCTGGCTTAAATAATTAAAGATGACGCTATATTTGCTTATGTAAAATTAATTATTGTCTTGATAGTATAATGAAAAAAGCATATAAATAAGACAAAGTAAGGAACACAGTTTGTAATGGTCATTCAAGTGGAAAGACAACAGCAAAGGCTGAAGAGGAATTAAGAATAGCAGTAAGAACTGGGTAAAAACAAGGAATGACACAAAGCAGAGGTTGTTTTATAAAATTTTATGGTCTTAAACGTCTATTTGTTAGGCACCTCACAAAGAAGTATGGGAGGGGAGATAAGCAATTAGGGAGCTGAGGATTCAAGAATTAACAGAAAGAGTTCAGAAGTTAATATTGGTAACATTGCAAAACAAGTTAGTTTTCCACACCCGCTGCTGAAGCCTATCAGTGGGATTCACTGTCAACCTGTGCTACAGTAGAGGTTAAGGACTTATCTACATTATGAACAATGAGCATCAATTAAATCAATAAATGGGCTTAAAAAAAAAACCCTCAATTCCATGTTTGCACTTTTTTAAACTTTGGAACTAATCCTGAGGTGAAATGACTTAAAACTCTCAAATAACTCAACTGTAAAAAAAATCAACATAGCTCAAGATCACAAACATAATAGGCGACAAAAACAAGCCAAAACTTCATGACATAAAAAGTGCTTAAGTCACTTTTGCTCCTATTAAAAAATTACCCAATAAAAAATCAACTCAAAATCTCCAGATGTCGATGGCCTTCCCATAAAATATTCCAATCACTACACTGCATTCATTTAACTTACACATGATTTAGCATAATCAGTACTTAGGATTCCGGTAACAAATCACAAAAACATGGAATACTAAACTTTTATTTTTTGTATACAACTAATATATTCAAAAATTATTAAGCCTATATTAAGATATCATTTGATATCACTCTATTTCTTCAGCTTGGTATTGGGGCGTAACACATAAAATTATAAAAGAATACCAAAGAATACTGTTAATTTTGTCCCCTTGCATGCAATAGGTAAGGACCCTTAGAGATGGATGCCGTACATACCTTGAAGGTGAGGCTGAAAGTAGTGGGAGGAACTGAAGTTAGGCTGGAGCTCTGTTGTATAGTCTCCCTCTTAGGGAGGGGAAGGGTGTTGGGCAAGGGCACCTGAAAAGGCAGGCAACACATATTACAATCTAACTAACTAGATCTGCTACAAAAGCCCCACTAAAGATCATGCTAATTACTCTATGGGTGGGGTTTATTCCTCATCAGAGCCAACAGGAATACCTGATTACTAAGAGTTACACTGTGTTTATAGTAGTTAATTATGGGTCTCTTAAAGTTTCTGAAGTTCAGTATTATCTGCCTTTTTATACACAAATTAGCAGAGAGTCTGTGCCAAATATAAGGTATATACTTGGAAGGCAGTGCTTCCCATATTTTAATATGTGCATGGATTGCCTGGAGGTGCTGTTAAAAAGCAGATTCCGATTCAGCTGTCTATGGAAATGCTGCATTTCAAACAAGGTTCCAGGTGCTGCTGGTGGATGGGCCACGTTTGGTGTAGCAGAGCTCTAAGGAATGAAGCTTTCACCAGATATGGGGGGAAGAGAGGAGGGCGGCTACAGGTTTATCAGAAGTATTTAACATGACAGTGAAAATAGAAGAAATTAATTTAGTTCCTGAAATATAGTCAATTTTTAAATAACTAGAGTCAAGAACAAAAGTAATCTTGGGAAGAAAGTATGAACTATTAGCCCCAACTCACTACACTGAAATTATTTTGCTATAGCAGTGAAACAATTATGGCAAATATTGTTAAAAACATAAAAATAATAATAGATACTCACTGCCTTTATCTCTTTATTTCCTCTAATTCTCTAGATCTTGGAATTTTACCATGCACTACTACATTTGTTTTTGTTTACTTAGTTGTTCAGGTAAAATGACCAGGATACTTATAGGTTTTAAGATAACCCCTCTGTGATACTACAGACTACCTGGTGGAGATCTGTAATACCTTAGATGACTTAATAGATTCTTTTATAAATCTTGAAAGCAGCTGTGCTATAATAATAAAAATGCCACCTACATTTAAGTTTTCAATGCATTCAAGACACAAAATGATTGCAATATTTGGTAATGCTAGCCAATAAATATCAGTTAAGGCCATAAAAAGTGTATTGAGCCTCAATAAAAAAATAAGCCATTTCAAGAATACTTTTCTAAAAAGACAAAAGTTCCATATATAAAATGAAACCTCAAAAAGACAAATGAAAGAAAAAAGAACATTTCAAAAGGTCCTAAAATTTTCCCCACACAAGACATTTGCTTTTTACACTGCATTGAATTAAGAATCACCACAATACTTGGCACAAGTAAACAAAACTGTGAAACCATTCCAAACTGATGACCATTTATAATGCTCCCTGACCCAAACTAATCTTTCTGCTTTTAAATATATCCTGGCTATACTGCTAACAATAAAATGTAGACTATTTCCCTATACATAAGAGTGGGTCTCTTGCTTCCAGTAGTTATCAGTGTATGAGTTACTACATCAATTGGCCTTATAGATTACACAGAAACCATCTGGATAGTAAAAGGCTCATTTGGATATTTTCAATGATTTTAAGGGTTAGAGTAATATTTTCAGAAGGCAGTTTGGCAGAAAGCTATCATACACTTTCCTGAAAAAGTACTACCTTAGAAATATTCATATACATATTAATTTTTCTTTTTTGAGTCAGGATCTCACTTTGAGTGCTGGGATTACAGGTATGAGCCACTACACCTGGCCTAAATATAATTTAGAAATTGTATTTTCAGAAGGTAGTTTGGCAGAAAGCATTACATACTCTCTTAAAAAATACTATCTTAGGAATATTCTACATTTTTTTAAATAAGAAAAGACATCACAATTAAAGTGTAACTAAACTTTATCAAGACTTTACTAATTGACTGTGATAATCTAGGTAACAACATCAGCACTTAAACGGAAAACAAGTCTTTTTCTCCTTTCTAAGTTTTCTATTATTTCCTATGGAGTTAGAGAAAGTTAAAAAATATTATTTAAAACACTTTCAGAAAGGTGGGGGGGGGGAGAAGGAAAGTTGGATAAACCACATTAATCAGCTTCTAGAGAGCTGTCATCACTAAGAAAAAGTGTATGCCTCACTTCCTCAGCTACATGTTACCTTTAGCTGAACTACAAAAATTGGATTAAGTGACCCCTAATGCAGCTCACCTTTCTAAAATTCCATATATTTGATGCTAGAAGGAAGAATAGAAAGCATAGGAAAAAAAGTAAGAATATAAAAATAAAGACTTTTATACTCAAAATGATAAAGTCCTTTGTCAGACATCTTTAAATGCTTATCTGTAAAGGATATTTTTAAAAAGGATGATCAACATTTTAGTTTGATAGCCTTTGCTCATTATAGAGGACTATGTTTTAAAAGAGAGCTAACTACATTTCCACCATACCTGTCATCAAAACAAGGACCACACAAGTAACTTCTAAAATGTTCTAAATAACTCTGGGTGTCCATGGCAAGTTACCTCATATTTTCATCTGTCAGTCAGTGAGCTAAGAAAAATGATGGGCTATACTCACTTTTAACATATCTTAAATGACAACATGGTTGTTCTGGAAAACTAGGGCTTAATTCACAACATGATTTAACACCACCTTATATTAGAGTTTCTGACATAATTAACATACACATTATAGCTCAATCTTCACAGGAATGTTGCTGTTAAGTATATATTTTTTAATTAAAAAATACCTGATTCTTTGGAAACACTCTAATTGTCTTATTGTCTTAAATCAGTTGGGTGCCACTGCATTACAGTTGGGTTCCACTGCATTACAAAAAGATTTCAATTTCACTTAAGAACAAAATCACCAACCAAATAAAATGCTGAATTGGTAAAATGTAAAAGCTAAAAAAAATTCTTACCAAAACTGGGTTAACAGGATTAGTACTTAAGAAATCAAGCCTAAATCGGGCTCAGCCTGTAATCCTGTGCCTTGGGAAGCTGAGGTGAGTGGATTGTCTGAGCCCGTGGGTTCGAGACCCCATCTCTATATAAATAAAAAAATTAGCCAGGCGTGGTAGCGTGCGCCTGTAGTTCCAGCTACTTGGAAGGCTGAGGTGGAAGGATCTCCGGAGCCCAGTGGGTCGAGGCTGCAGTGGCCGGGAGCGGCCCACTGCACTCCAGTCTGGGTGTCGGAGTGAGAATCCAAGTCAAAAAATAAAATAAAATAAAAAAAAGAAATCAAGTCTAAGCACCACAAACACTGACTGTGAACACTGAAAGCTGAGGGCTTTCAGAGAAAAAACAAAAAAGCCAGTTTGGAATATTTTTGCTAATTATACTATAGTGTTCCTAAAAACAAATCTAATACCAACTTATCAATCACTATAGTAAATAAAACATAAAAAGATGCACCAGATAATAGCCAAGTTCCTATCCAAACAACACATCTCAAATTGATTACTTACATTATTAACCAAAGTATCTTCCATCTTTGCATTATTAGTAGCCACAGTGTTAGGCAGAGAAGAAGAAGGTGTAGTATAGTCTGTTACAGACTCCTGTGGAGCAGTAATAGAAAAAAATATGTTTAAACGAAATTAATGCTCACTTTCTAATGACAGTTCTATAGTTGTAAAGTTGTTCTGGAAGAAATAAGACAGCCGTCTTTAAGAATCAACTCACTTAAATCTTAATTTATCAACTAATAGATAATACAACATGGACTCACCACCAAAATGATTACATTTCAACTACTACCGAATTCCTGTGTATTTTAAAAAATGCAATAATGCATAAGAGGTTGTCAACAGTACCAAATATTCATTTTTGTAGGTTATTAAAATAATTTTGTATGTGGAAGCAAATATCAAGATCTTAGTTATATCAATTACTTAGGTTTTAGGGTTCGCTCCTTGTTTAACTGTCACAAATCTCATTTTTAAATGTGGCAGAATAGGCTGGGCGTGGTGGCTTATGCCTGTAATTCCAGCACTTTGGGAGGCTGAAACCAGAGGATTGTCTGAGCCTAGGAGTTTGAGATCAGCCTGGGCAACATGGCAAGACCCATCTCTACAATAAAAACAAACAAACAAACAAACAAACAAACATGGCAGAGTTAGACCATAAGAGTTACTACTTACACAAGTCAGTGTGTGGTACTTGAAACAAATACCCAAATAATATGAAACTTTATACCTGTCTTTTTTCTCAGAGAATGTGTCCTGGAGAGAACACAAGATGGCAGATATAAACTTGCCGTTCCCACAAGTGTCAGTTACCATGGTCACTCAACATAACTTGCCTTATTGAGTAGTTTTTTGTTGTTGTTTGTTTTTTGAGTTGGAGTCTCACTCTGTTGCTCATACTGGAGTGCAGCGGCATGCTCCCAGTCACTGCAGCCTCACCCTGTTGGGCTCCGGCGATCCTTTTGCCTTAGCCTTCCAAGTAGCTGGAACTACAGGTGCGTGCTACCATGCCCAGCTAATTTTTTGATTTTTATTGTAGAAATGAGGTCTCGCCAAGTTGCCCAGGCAGGTCTCGAACCCGCGGGCTCAGGCAATCTACTCACCTCGGCCTCCCAAAGCGGGGGATTATAGGCTGAGCCACCGAACCCAGCTTGAGTAGTTTTTAAAACATACATGCTTAATCCAGTGTGGCCCATAAATGCAAGGCAGCATTCTCTAGCTCAGCCAACCACAACAGTGATCTGTCCCAACCATGAAAGAAGATTGACTGGCGATAGTGGAGTTACTAAAAGACTGCTTCATTTCCTGACATCATACTCTTATCTGCAGATGAGATAAAGCTCCACTGCAGTTCTATTAACATACTAATAAGGCCCAGTGCAGTGGCTCACATCTGTAATCTCAGCACTTTGGGAGGATCACTTGAGGCCAGGAGTTTGAGACCAACCTAGGCAACACATCAAGACCTCGTCGACTAAAAAATAAAATAAAATAAATTAGCTAAGCATGGTGGCATGCATCTTACTCTGGAGGCTGAGGTGTGAGGCTCGCCTGAGCCCAGAAGGTGGAGGCTGCAGTGAACCATTATCATGCATTCCAGCTTGGTCAACCGAGCAAGACGTTGGCTCAATTAAAACAAAACAACAAAAAAACCCACCCTAAATAAAAGTAATACAAAACCATATTCCAAAGCCTATAAACCAAATGAAAATTCTGTGTAAACATTTTTTTCACTTTAAGCTACTCAAACAGTCCAGAAATAAAAGTAAAGAAAATTTCCACAAAAATACAACTTATTGTAAAGGACTTCTTTAGTTCACATACACAAACCATGAAATAAAATCTTCTCTGTAGAAATAATAGCTAAGTAGTCTATAGAACTGTGCACTCTCAGAAGAAAAAAAAAGGAAGCCGTTGCAGTTTTTCCCATTCGTTTTTGACATGGTTTGCATCTATTGAACTTGCAGTCACTGCACGCTGCTTACCTTTGCATTCGTGCCATATTCTGCAGATGACACGGAGATCATTGTTCCTATTTCAGCAGATATTTCTGAGACTGCTTTGGTTTCCTTTGTTGTAACAGGATCTGTGCTTCTGACTGCAGCAGGGCTTGACTTCTCTTGTCCTTCTGGCTCTACCTGTTGGGCATCTTTTACTTTTCTATTTTTTAATGAACGTTCCTTTCCAATGGGACCAGGTTTATGTTCTTTGTTTTCTATTGGACTCAAATCTGGAAGCTGAAGTCAAATGTTTATGACAAAAATCATTATAGTCAAAGATATTCATCAAAAACTAAATTCAATTTTAAAACTGTTACTACTTGCTCTTCATAAGTGCCAGTGGCTGTGTCAGCAGCTTTCAAAACTTTGGTCTAGATTATTAAGTGTTTTTTACCTTCTGAGCTTTGATGGGTCCAGCACGGGGCTGCTTCTGCCGCTGTTCTTTAGGTTCAGGTGTTTTGTCAGCTGGTTTTTCTGAGAGCACCGGAACAACTTCATTTTCATTCCCATTTGAAGCTGGCGCACCAAACTGAATTGTGTCAATACCAATTTCCACTCCACCTTCTTGACCATTCTTTGTTCCCTAGTAAAAGAATATTTAAAAATTTGAGTTCAGATAGGGCTCAGATCTGACAGAATGACTTATGTAGCACTACATATTCTTAAAGTGTACAATAGAAGGTGCGAAACAATCTGCATATTAACTGACATCATGTTTTAAGAGAACTTTCCCTTAACCATCCTTCATCTGTACTAGAAGAAAACTGATAAAATGAAAACTAGGACAAGACTTAACTTTTTAAAGTCCTAGCTCTTAGGAGCGTGATCATGGGCAAATCACAGCCTCAAGTTGCTTCACCATTAAAACAAACGTAAAGCAACAAACACACGAAGACACCATCACCAACAGATGAATGACTAGGAAAGAAAAGACAGTATTATCAGTGTCACCTACTTCAAGGAAGTCTGCATTGAAAATAAAATTTTAAAATATATATTAAAGAGGCTGGGCATGGTGGCTCACGCCTATAATCCAGCACTTTGGGAAGTGAAGGCAGGGGATTGCTTGAGTCTAGGAGTTCGAGACCAGTCAGGACAACATAGCAAGACCTCGTCTCTACAAAAAATAGAAAAATTAGCTGGATGTGGTGGCACACATCCATAGTCCCAGCTACACAAGGGGCTGAGGAGGAAGGATCACCTGAGCCCAAGAGGTTGAAGCTTCAGTGAGCTGTGATTCTGCTGCTGCATTCCAGCAATCTGAGTCACAGAGATCCTGACTCAAAAAAGTACATAAGAACTTTGTGACTGGTAACATAGTGTACACACCTAAGGAATCAATCTGCCAGTTAAACAGCTAATTTACTGAGGGCCTATTTTGTGCTAGTCAAATGTTAGCATCAATGTAACTTGCAGAGCCTGCATTCTATTGAGAGTAAAGAAAGACCTGAAAAGTCAGATAAGAGACATACAAAAACAAAATGGGGTTAAGAGATTAGCTAACTTTAGACTGACAGAGAAAGCCACTGAGGACACACTGACACTGGATCTAAAAGACAGGATCAGTAGAAAGTATTTCAGGAAGAGCATACACCTAGTGTAAATGTCAAGAACAAAAAAAGGTTATTAAGGATGAAGCATATCAGGTATGGGGAACAGTGGTAGAAGATAGGCAGGAAGTTAGCTGACTCAAGGGCTTTGTTACAACAATTAAACTTTACGTAAACAAAAAACTAAGGACAAAGTTCAACAACAGTCTTTGACCTAGTAATTGAATCACCACTTCATATCATTTTTGGTATTCTTAAACCTAACTTTAACTTTAGGCAGTAACTGATCATGTTATTTCTATGCATTTATTTATTTTTTGAGTCCGGGTCTCACTGCTACCCAGGCTGGAGTGCAGTGGCATAATCATGGCTCATCACAGCCATGACCCAACCTCTCCACCTCAGTCTACTAAGTAGCTTGGGATTACAGGTGCGGTGCCACTACTTCCAGCTGATTTTCTGATTTTTGTAGAGATGAGGTCTTGTTATGTTGCCTAGGCTGGTCCTAAACTCCTGGGCTCAAGCAGTTCACTCGCCTCAGCCCCACAAAGTGCTGGGATTATAGGCATGAGTCACTATGCTCAGCGATAAAGTTATTTCTAACCCTCTAACAGGGTAATAATGTTAAAAGTATGAACAAGGCACGTAATGCAGATTTATTTTTAATATCCAGCCGAGTGCAGTGGCTCATGCCTGTAATCCCAACACTTTGGGAGGCTGAGGCAAGAGGCTTGATTCAGCCCAGGAGTTCAAGACTCCCAGGCAACACAAGACTATATGCCTTTATAAAAAATACAAAAATTAGTCAAGTGTGGTGGCATGTGTCTGTAGTCCAAGTTACTAGGACAGTTGGATGGATCTGTCGGGTCAAGGCTGCCGTAAGCTGTGATCATGCTACTACTGTACTCCAGTCTGGGCAACAGAGTGAGACTCTGAATCAAAAACAAAACAAAACAAAAAGCCCACAAAATAACCAATGATTCACTTTCAGATATAGGCACACACTACATATTGGTGATGTTTCCTCAATGATATTCCACATATACAAAGGTGGTCCCATAAGATTATAATACTATATTTTTACTGTATTTTTTCCTATGTTTAGATACACAAATACTTACCATTGTGTTATAACTACCTACAGTATTTAGTCTAGAAACATGCTGTATACGTTTGTAGCCTAAGAGCTATAGGCTATAACATACAGTCTAGATGTACAGTAGGCCGTATCAACTAAGTTTGTGTAAGTATACCCTAACATGTTCACACAGCTTCTTTCTCAGAATGTATCCTCAATGTTAAACATGTGACTGTATAGGCAAATATTACTGATGTCAATTAGAATAAAAACTTCTATTTGCTTTAGTCATTGTTGAAATTCCACAGTTAGTTAAGAATAAATGTACAGTTAGTATAAGAAGAGCAAAATGCTGTGGCAGTCACCTCTCATCCCATTTTCCCTTAAATTCACTCTAAACAGGCTTTCGTCCCTACTACTCCACCAGCACTGCTCTTATCAGTCATTACCTGTCAACTGAGCACCTATTTTCCTTGACCTACAGCAGCATCTGACGCATCTGATCCTTCACTTCTTGTCTGAACTTTGCTTTCACTTGCCTTTCAGGACACTTAGCTTCTCCCTCTTCCACATTTCCTAGAATTGGAAAGCCCCAAGACCATTTTCAATTTTACGCTCATAACTCATTCTCCCTTGGTGACCTCAAACAACCCCATTCACTTTAAACATCATGCATATGCTAATAACTTTCAAATTCTTATCTTCAAGCTATTTAATAAATTATCTCTTATGAACTAGAGTCATACTAGTTCATATTTGATATTTCCAATCAGATGTATAACAAACACCTTAAATTTAACATGACCCAAACTGAACTCCTTGTCTTCTCCACAAATCCTGATCCATTTATAACTTCCCAATCTCAATTAATTGGAATTCCATCCTTCCTATTGCTTAAGCCAAAAACTTTGGGGCTAATTTTTACTCTTCTGTCTCACCTCACACCCCACATTTAATTCATCAGTAAGTTTCCTCAGATTGATCTTCAAATACCCAGAAACCAACCATTTCTCCCTTAGTTTAAATTATTATCATCTGATTGTTGTGATAGCATCTTAACTTCTACTCTTGCCCCACACAGACTGTTCTTAGCAGACCACACAGTATACTTACAACTCAGATCCTATCAATCCTTTGTTTAAAACCCTGAACATCTTCCTACCTCTTCCAAAGGCCCTAGAGGATCCACTCACTATTACCTCTCCAGCTGCATCTATGCTCTCTATCTTGTACCTTCTCCAGCCACATGGGCCTCTTGGAACTTTCTCAAACACACCAGGAATGCTCCTGTCTCATGGCTTTTGTATTTGCTATTATCTGAACCTGGAATTCACTTTTTCTCAGACACCTGAAGAGCATGCTCTCCTATCTCCTTCAAATCCTTGACTCAAATGTCTTCTAAGTAGACTCTTCTGGCCACCCCATACTAAACTGCCTCCATGCCCCTTGGGAAATTCCTTATGCCCCTTCCCTGCTTTGTTTTTCTAATCAGCACTGATCACAATCATACTACATATGTACTTCACTGTTGGTTCCCTCTCACACTACAAAGGAAGCCCCAGGAGGGCAGGGTTTGTCTGTTTTTAGTCCCAGTTTTGTAAGCCCACAGGCTAGAACACTGTCTAGTACACTGCAAGTGTTTAACAAACGCTTGTTCAATGAATAGTCACTGACCTTAATAGTCATTCACAGTATCATGTAGGTTTAAGAAATTATGTTGGAACAACTTCCTATAAAGAGTTTCTAAATAATTATACCATTTAATTATTCACGCAGAAACATGGGAGAAAAGTCCAGAACACAGTTATTGCACCTATATTTTCTGTACCATAAGGTCTTTTCTAGAATAAAAACAAATGTTTAATGTCTAAAAGTGAGAAGAAGCTTACTGAGATAATGGTCTAGTATCAATAGGATCCCTTGGGAACTTGACCTCAATCCAGACCTAAAAACTCTGGTCATGGGCTCAGTGACCTGTTTTAAGCAACCTGCAGATAGTTCTGAGGCACATTAAAGTTTTAAGGAAACTCTGCCACACTAATCCCATTAATGTCATTAAGCCTATTCCTACCTCCGATGAAGCAGCTGATCCAAACGATGTTAAGGGCTTATTCCATGCACTGACTGAAGGTGGCTGTGGTGGACTAATGGGACCTACTGAAAAGAAGAAGCCATAGGAAATATGATCATTAAAATCTGGAGCCTAATTATCACTAACCCATTTAACCCTTTCTCTTAATCTCATTTTGATTAACTGTTACTAACCAGACGATAAAACAGTGACTTTTCACATGACAGATTCTTTCATACCAAAATACAAGCATACCCCAGAGATATCATGGGCTCTGTATAGAACAACGCAATAAAGTATCACAATAAAGCCAGTCACATCAATTTTCTGGTTTCCTAGTACACATAAAAGATACTTTTATGTATAGTCTCCTAAGTATGCAATAGCACTGTCTACAAAATATGCACATACTTAAAAATGTTGTATTGCTAAAAAGGAAAAAAAAGCTAACAATCATTTGAGCCTTCAGTGAGTCATAATCTTTTTGCTGATGGAGGGCCTTGCCTGCTGGTTGCTGAAGACTGGCATGGTCGTGACAATTTCTTAAAATAAGACAACAGTGAGGTTTGTTGCATTGAGTGACTCTTCCTTTCATGAAAAATCCCTTTTTAACATGTGATGTTGTTTGACATTTTACCCACAGATAACTTTTTTTTTGAGTTGGAGTCTCACTCTGTTGCCCAGGTTGGAGTCTAGTGGCACACTCACAGCCACCCCAGCATCAACCTGCTGGGCTCCGGTGATCCTTCTGCCTCAGTCTTAAAAGCAGTCAGAAATACAGGCACATGCTACCATGCCCTGCTAATTTTTGATGTATAGTAGAGACAAGGTCTCACTAAGCTGCCGGGGCTGGTCTCAAACCCGCGGGCTCAGGCAATCCACTCACCTCGGCCTCCCAAAGTGCTGGAATTACAGGCTGAGTCACTGAGCCCGGCCCACAGATAATTTTTATCAAAATTGGAGTCAATTCTCTCACACCCCATTGCTGCTTTATTAACTAAGTTTATGTAACATTCTAAATCCTGTGTTTCATTTCAACAACGTCCACCACATATTCACCAGTAGATTTCATCTCAAGAAACCATCCATAAGAAGCAACTTCTCATCTGTTCAAGTTCTAGCATGAGATTGCAGCATTTCATCACACCTTCAGGTTCCACTTCTACTTCTAGTTCACTTGCTATTCCCACTACTCCAACTGAAGTCTTGAACCTCTCAGAGTCATCCATGAGAGCTGGAATAAACTTTTGCCGAGTTCTATCAGAGGTATCACACTATCTATGGAAGCTAAGCCTTACAAAATGCATTTCTGAAATAAGACTTGAAAGTCAAAATGACTCCTTTGTCTGTGGGTTGAAGAATAGATGTCATGCTAGCAGACATGAAAACACCATTCAATTCCTTGTACATTGCCATCACAGGCCTTGCACAGCCTATATGAACTGTCGATGAACAGTATTAATTTGAAAGGAATCGTTTCTCCTGAACAGGTCTCAACAGTGGGCATAAAGTATTCAGTATACTATATTGTAAACAGATGTGCTGTCATCCAGGTTTTCTTGTTCTATGACTATAGCACAGGTAGAACAGATTTACTGTAATTTTTAAGGGCCCTAGGATCTTCAAAAATAGTAAATAAGCACTCGCTTCAGCTTAAAGTTACCAGCCATCAGTACCCTAACAAGTCAGCCTGCCAAATGAAGCTTTGAAGCCCAGCACTGACTTCTCTCTACCTTTGAAAGTTCTAGATGGCTTTTTCCCAACAGAAGGCTGTTTCACCTACATCAAAAATCCATTCAGGGCAACCCCCTTCCTCAATGATCTCAGCTAGATCTCCTGGGTAACTTGCTGCAGCTTCTTCATCAACACTTGCTGCTTCACCTTGGCAGGTGATCGAGATGGCTTCTTTCTTAAACCTCTGCTAGCTTCCAACTTTTTCCTGCAGCTTCCTCCCCTTTCTTAGTCTTCATAGAATTGAAGAATTAGGGCCTTGCTCTGGATGAGGCTCTAGCTTAAGATTCCATGCCTGCGGCTGGCTTGATCTATCCAGACCACTCAAACTTTCTCCATATCCATACAGATATCCATATCAATAAGGCTGTTTTGTTTTCTGATCACTGGGGGTTCACTGGAGTGGCACTTTTCACTTCCTTCAAGAACTTTTCCTTTGCATTACAATTTGGCTATCTTGTGCAAAAGGCCTAGTTTCTGGATTATTCTGGCTTTCAACACACCTTTCTTACCAAGCTTAATCATTGCTAGGTTTTGGTTTAATGTGAAAGGTGTGAGACTATTCCCTTCATCTGAACACATATAAGCCACTGTACGGTTATTAACTAGCCTAATTTCAATACTGTTGAATGAGAATAGGGAAGCCAGAGGCAAGGAAGAGAGAAGGGGAAGGGCTGCTCAGTGGAACAGTCAGAACACATATAATAATCACATATTAAGCTTACCATCTTTAAAAAATTTTTTCAAGACATGGTCACACTCTATTGCCCAGGCTGGAATGCAGTGGTGTGACTGTTACTCACTGCAGCCTCATACTCAGGAGGTCCTTTAACTCCAGCCTCTTGAGAGGCCAGGACTATAGGTACTCAGTGAGTACCACCACACCTGACTAAAAAAAAAAAATGGTTTTTGCAGTGACATAATCTCACTATGTTGCCCAGGCTGGTCTCTAACTTCTGACCTCAATCCTCTCCAAGTGCTGGGATTATAAGTATAAGCCACTGTGCCCAAATTTGCTTATTTGGGTGTAGTTCGTTTGTACCAATTACAACAGTAACATAAAAATCATTGTCTAGAGACCACCGTAATAAAATAATAATGAAAATATTTGACATACTGTGAGAATTACCAAAATGTAACACAGAACATGAAGAAAGCACATGTGGTTAGAAAAATGACACTGATAGACTTGGGTTGCCATGAATCTTCAATCTAAAAATGCAGTACCTGCAAAGTGCAATAAAACGGGGGTATGCATGTAAAAGTCCCCTCAAATATTACCTATTTTTTATCAATACAAAATTGTTCCTATAAAAAAAGGATGCTAAACATATTTTAGAAACAATTTTATAGTCCATGCCACCCCTCCCACCCCTCACTTCTCTGCTGCACACTTACATTTCTTGGAAATGTCATTCAGCACAGCTGTCGGAGCCACCTTGTTATCCCATAATTCAGCTGTCAGAGTGCCATGTGATTGTGGGGTCTGGATGGATTTTCCTGTGGCTACATAATCTGTGCCATTAGGAGTCTGAGCTGCAGGTAGCCGAATTGAAGGGGGTGGCTGTTTTGAAGACTGTGCTGTAGTCTGTAGTGGATTCTGGACTGGCTTGTGGGTCTGTGCCTGAGTCTGGGCTGAGGCAGTAGAGGCTAGAGATGGAGTTGGGGCTGGGCCTGGAGCTGAGGCTGGAGCAAGTGGGACTGAGGCAGCTGGGGCTGAGACTGGAGCAGCTGGTGCTGAGATGACAGGGGAAGCTGGCGCAGAGACTGCTGGGGCTGGGGTGGGAGCTGAAGTTGATGCTAGGGCTGAAGCAAGGATGGGAATCGAGGCTGAGGCAAGAATGGGGACAGAGGCTGAGGTTGAAACAGAGGCAAGGATGGGGGTTGGAGCTGGGGTTGAAGCTGAAGAAGTTGTAGCTGTAGCTGAAGCAGAGGCTGAAACTGGAGCTGAGGTTGAGGCTGAAACTGGAACTGAGGTGGAGGTCAGAACTGGAGCTGGGGTGGAGGTCGAAACTGAAGCTGAGGTGGAGGTTGGAACTGGAGCTGAGGCGGAGGCCAGAATTGGAGCTGAGGAGGCTGGAACTGGAGCTGAGGGTGAAGGTGGGGCAGGCGCTGAGGCTGGAGACTGTGCCTGCTGGGTCCCGGTCGCCTGTTTTTTGGCAAATCTTGGAGGAAGCTTAGATGTCTGATTTCTTCCTTTTTCATTTGCATTCTTTTTGTTCCAGACCTTGACAAATTGTTAGGAATCATTTTTGTCAGTAACGCAGTTGAAAGCAGCAGTTCATAAATGTAATTTCTAATAAAACCAATTACTAATTTAGCTCCTTTGCTTTTCAAGATAGGTACTCAGAGTAAAAATGTCAAGGCTGCTATGGCGATGTCAAGATGATGGAGGAGAAAGACAAGTATGTATCCACTGAACAGCCCTTCCCCTGGCCTCCCTATTCTCTGACACTCAACAGTATTGAAATTAGGCCAGATAATAATCATACAGTGGCTTGCATGTGCTCAGATGAAGGAATAGTCTCACACCTTTCACATTAAATCAGAATCTAGCAATGATTCAGCTTAGCAAGAAAGGTGTGTTGAAAGCCAGAATAGCCCAAAAGCTAGGCCTTTTGCACAAGTTAGCCAAACTGTGAATGCAAAGGAAAGATTAAGAACTACTGGGCTCAGGCAATCCTTCCACAATTAAAGTCATTTGGCAGTAAAACCTTCCCTAAGGTGACAAAAGGCTACTTGTGTTCACTCAACTTTTATTTGACAGACATAAACTGGAAGAGTGTGGCTGCCATATCATGCTCTATAAGGTATCTGCACGACTTAAATAAATAGCCTGGGAAAGCACAAGGTTCCAAGAGTTATTTTAAACTCAATAATTAACCTTGATTCATACTGTACATTTAAATGAACTAATTCAGATTACAATAGGAACTTTTATAGGCTAAGAATCTGCAATCTATTGGTTTGTGGTATTTGTGTTCCTTAGATTTCCAAGATAATTTATAAAACCAACTCAACTCTGCTGTGGGGCAGATAAGGTGACCATATAATATGTTGTTAAAGTAAAGAAGTTTGATCAGGCATACAGTGAGCTGCAGTGATTATACATTTGATTTAAAATTTTTACCTTAGCTCTGGTTAAAACAGTTTAAAGTTGTGAAGATGATGGCACCCTCAATATTTGAATAATAAATACAGCCTTGGCTTTACAAGTAGATAAAATTTTGACCTTTTGCTAACATACTTTAGGTAACAATCTAAGTAAAGCAATAAACTGAAGTAAGTTTTAAACCTGTATGACTTGCTCTTCCTTCTTTCGCCTTTCCTCATCTTGTAAACGTTTTTGTTGTTTTTTGGATACCACTTCAGTAAAACCATCATCATTCAAGTTTGACTGGGGATCTTCAACTACTGTTACTTCAGGATGATCATCAATTATAACAACACCTGTGGGAGTGGAAAATGATATGAAAAAATATTTTCTTTTTCTTAAATGAAGATGCACACATTTGGTCCAGTAGTGCTTAAAAAAAAAAAAAAAGACAAGCTAAAGACCTAGTTCTTATAATTTACACTATTTCCCACTTTATATTACGGCCATGCATTGTATAATATCTGAAAAGACTTCACAGACTTATGAAAGTTTCCATACACAAGGTTAAAAATAGAAGTCCTAAAATTATCTGTTTTGAAGGATATAGGTCTTTGGAGGTTTTTTCCTCAAGCAATATGAGAGGTAATGCCTGGGTGGGGGGGTTAAAAAAAAAATCAAAATTATCCTATGATGCAACCTCTATGCCTCAGTCTCAAGTCTGTATATTAAAAATCTACAAAGTACTTTACCTCATTTGCATCTACTCATTCTAAGAGGATGTTTTCCTGTATCAAAAAATGAAATAAGCCCTGAGAAAATAATTTGTTAAGAGGTGACCAGACTTGCCAGTCTTATGATACTTAATTCTTTTACTTTATATAGTTCCTTGTCTACAATGTGCAGTTGTTAAAAACAAATGAAAAATATGTGAAAGTTCCATATGAATGTGAAGCACATAAATGAACATACATCAGAATCACCTAGTTGCTGAATAACTCAAGATCAATTTTCAACTTACTGTCCAATTTAACATTATTATAGCTACTTTAAAATTATCTTATATGTCATTGAGTATAAGATATGTAAATCAATATTTCAATTGATTATTCAATTAAATTAATTCAGGAGATGTGATTTTTAGTTACAAGTATAATGTCTGTACAGTAAGTAACAATATCAAGAAACAGACCAGGCATGGTGGTCCATGCCTGTAATCCCAGCACTTTTGGAGACTGAGGCAGCATTGTTTGAGCCCAGAAGTTTGAGACCAGCCTGGGTAACATAGTAAAACCTCGCCTCTACAAAAAAAAATAAGCCCGGTGTGGTGGTATATGCCTGTATTACCAGTTACTCAGGAAGCTGAGGAGAGTGGATCCCTTCAGCCCAGAAGGACAAGGATGCAGTGAACCCTGATTGTACCATCCACTGCATTCCAGTCTGGGCCACAGAGGGAGACCCTGACTCAAAAAAAAAAAGTAAAGCAATTCAAGTAAATTACCATTTCAAATATATGTTTTAATTAGGAAATACACATAATAAAAATGGTGATTTTTCTTGGGAATGACAGTAACAATTCAGGATGGTGATACTTTTGAGAGATGGTAGAGTTTATGATCAGGAAGAGATTCTATAAACAATTCTTTTTAATTAATACTTAATGTAGAGACTGAGAGAGGAAATGAAAAATGAACAATAAGACTGGCTTTCACTCTTTAGAAACCAATTACTGGCCAGGCATCGTGGCTCACACTTGTAATCCCAGTATTTTGAGAGGCAGAGGCGAAAGGACTGCCATGAGCCTGGGCAACCTGGCAGGACTTTGTTTCTATAATAAGTTTTTAAATTAGCCAGGTATGGTGGTATACACCTATAGTTCCAGCTACTTGGAAGGCTGAGGCGGAAGGATCGCCTGAGCCCAGTGGGTTGAAGCTGTGGTAGCTGTGAGTGTGCCACTACTCTCTAGCCTAGGCAACAACAAAAACCAAACCAAACCAAAATACCATTACTGTTATTCTGTTTTTCTAATAAAAACTAGATTTTAAAAGAAATAATTGATTCTGATTTACTTAAGACACTTCTACTTGTGTTTCAAATCCTTTAAAAACATTGTTAGCTCTGTAAAACAGAGCACATACTCATTTCTATGAGAGGTCTAGGTCAGACATTTCAAAGGATGTCATGGGCACATTATTTCAGACTAGTGGAGAGACTGCATAATAACTCTAAATGCATCTCAGTTTTTTACCTACACTACCTCCAGAGCGATACCATCACTATTTCAACTTCCTTGGTTCACCCAATTACATCAACGTTTATGGAGATCCCAACACTACTTTCAGCTTGTTTCCCATGCCTGTTCTTATCTGATACTTTTTAACCTTGTGGGCTAAAGACATGTTATTTAACCAACATTACCAGGAAAACCTAAAAATAACTAACTCTGAAATATAACTTTAATGAGTTGATATAGCTTAATTTCTATCGTAACTTCAGAAATATAGTTTTTATCTTTTAATATTATACCTTAATCTAATAATATTATGCATTGGGGAATTTTTATTCCAAAAGTGCTTTAAAGAAGAAAAGTTGGTAAAAAAAATATTTGGGGAAATAAGTTTGCCATGTTTTGTGGACTTTTCATAATCTTCACTTGTCATTTTTTCCAAATTCTGTGTTTGGATGAATGCTAATCTCCCTAGGACTTAAAACTTTAGCACTATTTACATTTTGGGCTGGCTGTCCTATGTATTGTTGGATATTTAGTAGTCAGTATCCCTACCAACAAGATGGCAGTAGCACCCTACCTCCAGTTGTGACAACCAAAAACATCTCCAGAAATTGCCAAATATCCTGAGTGCAAAATCACTCCTGTTGAGAATGATCACTCCAAGTAATCTAACTAAAAGTTTCTAAACATGAAAATAACATCAGTTATGTATTTTCCATATAAATTCATATAAATCCTAAAAAGTTCTCAAACTTTAGTGTGCATAAGAATCACCTGGAAAGCTTGTTAAAGCAGACTGCTGCGTCTCACTACCAGAGAGTATGATTTAGCAGGTCTGAGGTAAGGCATGAGAATTTGCATTTCTCATAAATTTCCACATACTACTGATGATCTGGGGACCACACTTGGAGAACCAGTAGATAAGAAATAATGTCCAGAAACGGCCCAAATCATACATATATACACGTATACATATGTACATATATAATATAAAACCATTAAGCAGATTTAAAAACCCTCACCTACATTTCCAATACTGGAATTAAAGTACCTAACTTAACTTTTTCATTACTACCTTGTCCTAACTTACTAATCTCTCAGTTTTATTCAGTCTCATGAGAATGAATGGCAAATAGCCCTATTTCATTATCTTTAATGAAAATTTTATTAAGCATTCAAAGCTATGCTAAAAACTGGTATTATTTCAGTTTAAGCTAAGTTAGTGTTTCATAATCAGCTGCTATGGGTGCCCTGAATATCCAACTCCTTCCTTTTTAGAAAATTTCTTTACTTATGGCATTTATCTTTTAAAATGTAACACAAATAAATGAAATGAAGTGAAAGAATCCTAAGACATACTTGCATAGTTGTTGAGATCAAACTGTGACAGGGCATCCACTTTCTCCTTGGGTTTTTTGGGACCTGGTTTAGGGTCTTCTCTTTTTTTCCCAGTAGAATCTTTGGTGTTCTTCTGTCCTGTGCCATTAGGTGCTCCTTCCTGGTGTGCAGAACTGCCATTGGCAAGATCAACACCAGCGGTGCCTGCAGACTGGTCATCAAATGGCCTACAAAAAAATAACTTGATATATTACTACCTCCACATACCTGAACAAATGAAATATACTTAGTGGTAGTTTCTAAAGTTCAATCTAAGATGTAATAGCACTGGACAGAAGACCCTAACTCTAATATGAAACAAGTCTTAGTGACTTTCACTGAATACAATCTCACTAAAACTGAGCTTCTCAATAAAGTAGCATAGTTCCTTAGAATCCATTCCAGTAATTAAATTCTAGAATTCTAATGGTTCCATGAAGGTTCTTATTGTTTCTTTTTGTCTATCGTATTATAAAGGAGCTAATTAACATTGTTTATAGTAGAAAATCTCTGTGATTCAGGTAAGTTCAAAGTATTCACAAGTTGATGCGCTCCAAAAGTGGGCAGCATATGAAAATACAATTTTAGGACTGGACGCAGTGGCATAGGACTGTAATCTTAGTTGTGTGGGAAGCTGCAGTGGGAGGATAGCTTAGAGTCAGGAGTTCAAGATCAGCCTGGGCAACACAATGAGATCCCATCTCAACACCCACCCCCCCAAATTAACCAGGTATGATGGTGTACACCTGTAGTCCCAGCTATGTGGGAGGCTGAGGTTGGAGAATTGCCTAAGCCCAGGAGGTCAAGGCTGTAGTGAGCGTTGATCCTGCCACTGCACTCCAGTCTCGGCCACAGAATGAGATTCTGACTCAAAAAACCAACCAAACAAAACACAATTTAAAGAAGCATTCTAAGTTTACACTACGCATTATTTTAAAAGTTCAATCAGGCCTTTGTCCTTTGCCCGTGCCCACCACAGCCTGTTTGCGATGACTGACCGGAGTCCGCGAATCTTCTGCACGGAGCCCGTCCAGACTGCCCCGACCTCAGCTTTATATCCTTTGAAAATACTAAGAATAATACCCCTGCATCAGTTATTATTAGAGCCAATCACCTGCCAAGCCTGGAACAGGGATTGTACCCAGATTGCCCTTAGCCCCAACAATCATGAAGTGCACATCTATAAGAAAAATGGGAGCCAGTGGTTGAAAGCTCATGAACTCAAGGAGCACAAAGGACACATTACAGGTATTGACTGGGCTCCCAAGAGCAACCGCATCGTCACTTGTGGAACAGACTGCAACGCCTATGCCTGGAGTCAGAAAGATGGTGTCTGGAAGCCAACCTTGGTGATTCTGAGAATTGCACAGCCACTTTTGTGAAGTGGTCCCCCCCTAGAAAACAAATTTGCTGTGGGAAGTAGAGCACAACTCATTTCTGTTTGTTACTTCGAGACTGAAAATGACTGGTGGGTAAGCAAGCACATAAAAAAGCCAATTCTATCCACAGTCCTCAGCTTGGATTGGCATCCCAACAATGTATTGCTGGCAGAAGGATCATGTGAATTCAAATGCAGTGTTTTCTGCCTACATTAAAGAAGTGGATGAGAAGCCAGCACACCATGGGGCAGCAAGATGTCTTTTGGTCAGCTGATGTCAGAGTTTGGTGGCCGTGGCCCTGGTGGCTGGGTCCATGGGGTCAGCTTCTCTGCCAGTGGAAGCCACCAGGCCTGGGTCAGTCATGACAGCACTGTGTCTGTTGCTGATGCCTCAAAAAGTGTGCAGGTCTCAACTCTGAAGACAGAATTCCTGCCACTCCTGAGTGTATCGTCTGTCTTGGAGAATAGTGTTGTAGCTGCTGGACGTGACTGCTGCCTAATGCTCTTTAACTATGATGACCACGGCTGCTTGACTTTTGTCTCCAAGTTAGACACTCCAAAGCAGAGCACCTAGTGCAACATGTCTGCCACGGAATGCTTCTGTAATATGGACAAGAGCCACGACTGAGGACTGCAATCCAGCCTTGGAGATACTGCACCAGAATAGCATCAGCATCACTCAAGTATCTACTTATGAGGTGGACAAGCAAGACTGTCATAAATTTTGCACTACTGGTATTGACGGAGCCATGACCGTTTGGGATTTCAAGACCTTGGAGTCTTCCATCCAGAGCCTCCGGATAATGTGAAGCTGAGTGAACTCTGCCATCCAGCATGACAAACTGACTGACTGCAGCGCTGCCATTTGCATGATGGGGAGAACAATCAGCCTAGAGGAAACACTGAAAACACATATCACGCCAATGTGTGGTTTCATTTGAACATAAAATTGGTGAAAGTGTTGGTTTTATATAAGCAGAAGTGATTTTTGTTTTTTTGCTATTTCATTCCATTTGCTGTTTCATTCCGGAAAACTGTCACACTAACTTAAAAGGGTGAGGGAGATATGTAAATTGTCCGCTAGAAAATTCAATAAAAATACCAAATGTGGGGGGGGGAAGTTAAGTTAGATTTACACACTGATATAAGCATACCAAAAAAACTTTTAACATACAAACCAAATGTATGTCTACGGTTTTTATTTCCCAACATAAAAATTCTCGGGTTTGGGGATTAAAAAAAAATTTCCAGGTGAAAATAGAACATGGGAAATGGGTTTACTAATTTTCATCTTAGACTATAGTATTACTCAAGATAAAAACTTACCAAATGCCTGGCTGTGATCTCAAATATTTGAAGAATAAATTCGTTTCTTCTACATGGGACTCTTTAACAAAATATTTACTTTAAGCATAATTGATCACTGTTATTTCTGAAAGTTTCTGTTCAGTCTTTTGTTTATCCTGATTGTCTTGGTCTTTAAAAGGGACATTCAAATTCTAAGTTAAACTGGTCCTCAGGAAACACAACTGGTCATACTATTTTCCTGGAATCTTTTCTAAATTATCTGGAAAAGCAAAAATATTTTCCCTAATGCTATGGTTTGAATGTATCCCTCAAAAGTTTATGTGTTGGAAGCTTAGTTCCCAATGCAGCAGTGGTGAGAAGGGAGATCTTTGGGAGACTGGGTCATGAGTGTTTTGGCCTTGTGAATGAATGAATCCATTTAAGGATTAGTAGGTTATGAAGGGGGTGGGTGATCTGAAGAATGCATATGTTTCTTCTACATGGAACTTTTAAAGACATTTATTTTAACTCTAATCAATTCTCAGGCTGCAACTGGCCTAAAAATAGGGCACACTATAGTAATAGTTGCTTCCCGCATACCAGTGTTATGTGCAACACAAATATCATATTAATAATCTTCACATATTTAGTCCTATTTTTTCCCCTCATTTTACTGGTGAGGAAGCAATGGGGAAGCAAACAGAAAGTAACAGCCTAGATTTGAACCTAGGCACTCTGAATCTTAACTGCTGCTTTATAATATTTTCTAATACTATACAAATCAATACTAATTTATTATAACCAACACTTTACTATTTAAAATAAGTCAAGTTTAGCATAATCTAGAAAATTTATTTTTTAAAAAAATCCATTGCCATGGCAATGATGTTACTGCTGGCCTTGGTGGTTACAGATTTGTTTTCTGGGCCCCTCTCTAGATGTTGGACCAGTCACTGTATATTCACAACTTAAGAGGGAAATAATTTATCCTTAAGGTTCAACAGTAATAAAGCAAATGGTTACAATATATACTAATTTAGATCTCAGAGGACATATGTGCAGCACCAGAGTTTTGCAAGCGGAAACTAAGACAGACAAGATGTCTACTCATCAGCAATAAATCATCAGCAATAAAATGACTTCGCAAATGAGAACACTGTACATGTCCCTCGCTAGGTACACAGATTTCCCCAAAGCTACAAGTTCCCGAGGGAACTCCTCTGAAGAATCCAACTTAGTAGGCAAAAATTCCTTACACTTTGATAACAGGAAAAAGCATTTGAGAACAATGTTTTGGTCCTTCACCTAGTGGCTCCTTGCATAATTCAACCAAGAAGTTTACTCTCACGTTATTTAAAGATGCCAAAGTAGGCCGGGTGTGGTGGCTAAAGCTTGTAATTTCAGCACTTTGGGAGGCTGAGGTGAGGTGCCTGAGCCCACAGGTTCAAGAACAGCATGGGCAACTTGGTGAGATCTCATCTCTACAATAAATCAAAAAATTAGCAGGGCATGGGAGCATGCACCTGTAGTTCCGGCTACTTAGAGGGCGGAGGCGGAAGGACTGCCTGCGCTCAGCAGGTCGATGCAGGGGGTGGCTCTGAGTGTGCTACTGCACCCCAGCCTGGGGACAAAGTGAGACTACAACTCAAAAAAAAAAGGTACCAAAGTAATTATGTCTAAAACAAAGTACTCACCCTCTCTTTCCACTTTTTGGTGGTGGGCCACTTCTCCTTTCATTTCTAGGACCTGAGAAATTTCTTCCTGATTTGGGTGGGCCATTGTTGCCCCGTCGATTCTGGCGATCTACTGGTCTCTGACTAGAAAAACTCCTCTTTGCTATTTCCCGTTTTGGAGGTAAAACATTCTCTCCAGCCTTTGCAACTGTTTGTGCACTCAAGTCAGCATTTTTTTTTTCATCCCTCTCTCGCCTCTCATTGAAATCACTGCTTTCAGAAGCTGTTTCCCATTCTTCATTGGCCTGATCTGAAGAGTTCTGATTAGATAAATCTGGTGTCTTATTCCCAGAAATATCCCCAACAGTATTAACTGGTTCTTGAGCCACATTATTAATGGTGCCATTTGTGGGCACTGCTACCTCATTTGTTTTAGAAGCAGCTTCCCTCTCTCTTAGCCGCCTAAATCGAGGAGGCTTGTCTTGTCTTGGTGGTCGGGTAGGACGCTGCCTTCGAGGCCTGTCTCTAGCTGGGTCAAATTTTCGCTCAAATTTTGGAGGCCGTTTATCTGCTGGTATAGGAATAAACTGCTCATGTCTTCTTGGTGGTTCTCCATCTTCTGGTTTAGGAGCTTCTGCCTGCCTTGGGTTCCACTGATTGTCCCGATAAGCAGGTCTTCGCAAAGTGGAAGGGCGTGATGGACGGCCTCCCGGATCCCTTCCACCACGTCTGAATGTGCCCCCCCCTCGGCCTCTCCTTGTAGGTTCTCCTTTAGGAAGGAAGCCTGGTTTAGATTTATCATCATCTCTCATGTAAGGCTTTTCTACTGGTCTGTTATCTATTCGGATATGATTATCAGGCTTAAAAGAAGATTGAGGCTTTATAGGTTTTTTGTTTTCAGACCGTTCCTCTCTTTTGGGAAGTTTGCCTTTACTTAAACTATCCTTGTCACTTGCGCTTTCATGAATTTCACTGTCTGTGTCAGTCTCTGAACCCCGCTGCCTTCTTCTTTTGGGGACAACTTCAAAATCAGAGCTCTCACTACGTGTTTCGCTTTCTTCTCGCTGTCTGAGAGGCCCTGAGGATACATGCTCTGTTCTCGGCTTATTGTCTCTATACTGAGGATAATCTCGAGTGTGCCCTCTACCACCCCTGCCACGTCCCCCATAAGAACCTCTATAACTTCGACCTCTGGAGTAATATTCACCTCGGCCTCGACCTCTGTATCCTTGATCTGGAAACCAATCTCTATCTCTAGCTTCTTTCCAATAGGTCCTAGGAGGTAAAGTTGATTCTTTTTTAACTGCTGGTCTTGAATCTGGTCGGGGCCTCTCTATAACAGGGTCTTTGCTTGTGACTTTCTCAGGTTGTTTATCTTCTTTAATTGTTGGTGCTGTGACAGTTTGCTGGTTTACAGTTTTAACTGCAGGCTCTACTTGAACACTACTTATAGGTTCCAGAGACTTATCAGTATCCTGAGATGGTTTATGAGCCAAAGTTGAAGCTTCTGTTGAAGGAAATTTCTCTGGTTCTGGCTGAACTGGTGGTGAAACTGACTGTGGCTGAATAGGTGCTGGAGGAGATGGGGGTAGAGAAGTAAGATCCTTCTTTTCTGTCTTTTCGGGTTTTACAACTTTTTCAGTGACCTTCTCGACCTTTTCTCCTTCTTTCTCCTTTCTTTGCTCCCGTTCCTCTTTCATGTCTCTAAGCACAGGTTTTTTGATGGGACCTGATCTTCTCACAGGTCTATCATTACCTTCTTCCCTTCTGTTGGAGCTTGGCCGTGGGCCCCAGCGAGTTTCTGATTTAGATTTATATACTTTTTCAGGTTTTGGTCCTTCAGAAGATCGTATAAAGCCTTCCTTTTTTGGTTTCTCCTCTAACCTTTCTGCTGGTTCCTTTGCATCGACGCACCTGCTAGTTACTTTAGGAATGCTTGCAGAGGCCTCGTTTCTCTGCTCCTCTGGTTTTTGAGTATGGTTAGATCCATGAGAAACACTTCTTTTCCGTGCAGGCTGATTGTCTACAACTGAAATCCGCTCTTCTTGAGGAATGGCTAAGGCTTTTTGATCAGGTGCTTCAAAACAAGCAGACTGATTATTTGTGTCAGTATGGTGAGGTCTAATGTCTTCCACAGATCTGCTTAAAATCTTTTGTTCTTCTGTCTCATTTGATTCTCTGACAAAGTCGGATTTTGGATGAACATCCAACTGACTATGTTCTAGAGGATAAGCAGTAGTAATCTGTTCCTGCTCCAATGCAGCTTCAGGCCTATGATGATGAGAACGCAAAGGTATAACCAACAAAGCATGTTTTTCCACATGTAAGTAAACAGCAACATTAGCTCACCAATTTGAATATAAAATAAAGAGCATCTTTCTCTCTTTATAAGAAGTTTAGTGCAGAATATTCACAATAGCCAAAAGGTAGAAACAGCCTAAATATCCAACTACAACTGAAAGAATAAAGAAAATGTGATATACGAGGAGGGACCCCAAAACAACCAGAATCTATTTATAAAAAACTGCGTTATGGAAGGCTGAGGCAGAAAGTCGATGCTGGGGTGACCATGAGTGAGTCACTGCACTCTAGCCTGGGCGACAGCATGAGACTCTGACTCAAAAAAAAGAAAAAAACAAAAACAAAAAAAAACTGTTATTTACTCTTACATGTTTAAACTTCAGTCACTTTCAAAGTACTCTCTGTTTGATGCAATACACCCATTGAGATACTTTCTACTGCTCAAAACAGTTTTTGAACTTGTCAATTTTGATGTCTTTTAGTGTTTCTGCCATTTTATTGGTCTCACCTCTTCCGCAACAGCAAAACATTTCTCTTTGAGGACTTTTTTCATCCAGAGAAACAACAAAAAAAAAGTTGCTTGGGAAAAGGAAGGGTGGAGCATGGAGGTTGTTCTATTTTTGGTCAAAAACTGAATACTCAGTGTGGTATGGACAGGTGCACTTGTAAATCACCCATCATGAAATGGGCTAATGCATGGCAAGAATCTAAAAAAAGAAAAAATTCACTGAAGCTGAACGCAGCCTCTCACAACAATGCTAGCTGGTACACTGATACCAATGGGTTCCTACAACACTTAACCTAGCAAAGGAAGCCTGTACTACAAAGGGTTCATCCTCCAAAACATAATTCCAGGGTTTTTTTGGATCCCCTCATATACATGTTAATGGAATGTTATTCTGAGATAGTAAAAGAAGGAAATACTGTCGTCTGCTACAACATATCTTGAGGACATTAGTCGGTCAAGTAAGCCAGTAGGAACAAATATCATAAGACTCCACATATATAGGGAACCTAAAACCAAACTTATCAAAGCTAGAAGTAGAATGGTGGTTGCCAGGAGCTGGAAGTAGGAGAAAATGAGGAATTGCTGTTCCACTAGTATATAGGTTGACCCATACGAGACAAAAAAAGTTCTAGAGATCTGCTGCAGAACATTATGTTTACAGTTAACAATACTGTAGAATACAATTAAAATTTTGCTAGGAGGGTAAATCTAACGTTAAGTGGGTTCTTTACAATTAAAAAATGAACGAAGACCGGGTGCAGTGGCTCATGCCTGTAATCCCGGCACTTTGGGAGGCCAAGGCGGAAGGGAAGACTCACTTAAGCTCAGGAGTTCGAGATCAGCATAACAAGAACTTGTGTCTATAAAAATCAAAGAATTAGCTAGGTGTTGTGGTGCACACCTATAGGTCTAGCCTCTTGGAAAGTTGAAGTAGCAGGACTGCCTGAGTCCAGGAAATCAAGGCTGTGGTGAGACACTACACTTTAGTCTGGGTGACAGAGTGAGAATTTGACTTAAAAGAAAAAAAAAAAATTCCACCAAGAATGAAAAAGTACACTAGAGTAAGTCTAGTTGTCCCAATTAATTATAAAAACATTATTTAAATATACCCCAGAAAAGGGCATGTCTAACTATATGGCTATAAATGATTAGTGGTCACCACTAACTACCTGTTACTTCAAAGTAATTTTGTATAATTAGTATTTTTCTTTATCGCGATCTTAGAAATGATCCATACCATACTGTTAAATGTCTCACTAGTGGAAGAATTCCATCATTACTTTAGCCAGACTACATAAGCATGGTAGACATATTTAAATTTCACACCTGATCTATAGTCACACCTGCCAATTTTAATAGTTAATACTGACTTGCAGCATTTAATTCAGTGCACAGAACAAGGTTACAAAAGCCCTAATCAATACAGAAATTCCAGAAAAAAGGAATTACGTCCTAAAATAAAATGAATTATATTAAATTGAAGAAAACCAGATCTATGGCTCAGTCTTACACTTGAGTGATCTTCAGGGACACTACAGTTTTCTTTTTACCAGAATATTCTGTTTAGTATATTAAATTTTAATAAGTTAGTACCTTCCACTCTCAGGCTCTTCTGTTGCTTTGGGAGTAGTTGCCTGCTGAGGCTCAGCATGAGGATAGGGGTCCGACCCCCACATCATGCGAGGCTCAGAGAGGGAAATGGCATGATCTCTTGCAGATCGAGCCATATGCTCAAATGACTCAGAACTGTTTGGTGAACCTTCCATTTGGTCTCTTCTCATTAACGGTTTAGGAGGAATCATTCCTATAAAAAGGGTCAGAAAAAGATGAAATGAGGATTACAAAAAATAAAAGAAACAAAACTAAAACAGACAAAAAATATAGATAATTGCTACTGAAATCCTTTATTCTTAAACTAAAAAGTATTTTTTTTCTGAGCAAAACTGTAATTCAAAAGATTGGCGGAAATAAAATTTTGTTATTGCTATTAAATAAATTGCACTTAAGAATTAAAGAAAAAAAGCCAAGCAAAAATCACAAAGGCAGCCTGTTTTACTTTAAAAGAAAATGTGTTCATAAAAATAAGGTACTGAGCCGGGCTCGGTGGCTCAGTCTGTAATCCTGCGCCTTTGGGAGGCTGAGGTGAGTGGATTGCTTGAGCCTGCGGGTTCGAGACCTGCCTGGGCAGGCGAGACCTCATCTCTACAATAAATCAAAAAAAAAATTCAGCCGGGCGTGGTAGCGCACGCCTGTAATTCCGGCTACTCAGAAGGCTGAGGCGGAAGGATTGCCGGAGCCCAGCAGGTTGAGGCTGCGGTGGCCGGGAGCGGCCACTGCACTCCAGTCTGGGTGACAGAGCGAGACTCCGACTGAAAAAAAAAAGAAAATAAAGTACTGAGCACTGACACTCTCTATGCTTGTTAATACAAACACTATGAGAATTATACGAAATTATACCATGATAAATTTTCAGATAATTATTTCCTATAGCAAATATTTTAGTTGATCAATATTCTGCAAAACGTCACTTAAATTTCAAAATATCACTATAAATTTTAAAATCAAGATGTGATTATCAGCTTTTTAACACCTCTAAATTTTTCTTTATGCTATTTTTATAATAATTTATCTGAGTTTATTTTGCTGGATTCCATAAGAGACTGAGTTCATTTTTTTTCTCTCTTACCTATGAATAAATTCAAGTGTTAGACTGGTAAATGATGGAGGAAATTGAAAAGCTGGTGTAACATGCAGAAGATTAACAAGACCCGTACCTATCCCCATACACAAAAATCAACTCTACATGGATCAAAGACCTAAATGTAAAACTCACACTATAAAAACCTTAGAAAAGGCGGGAAACAATCTTATGGAAATTGGAACTGGCAACCAATGCCTATCAAAACCCCAACTGACCATGCCACAAGAGATAAGATAGACAAGTGGACCTCATCAAACCAACCAGCCTCTGCAAAGCCAAAGAAACACTGAGAGAGCGGGAAGACAGCCAACAGACTGGGAAAACGTATTTGCCAACTGTATATCTGACAAAGCCCTAATATCTAGGATCTACAAGGAACTCAAACGTGCTGAAAAGAAAAAAACAAACTGCCCCAGTACAAAGTGGGCAAAAGATACGAATAAACACTTCTCAAAAAGAAGACATCCAAGGAGCCAACAGATACATGAAAAAATGCTCAGCCTCACTTGTCATCAAAGAAATACAAATTAAAACTACACTGAGATACCACCTAACTCCAGTCAGGATGGCATCATCACTAACTCAAAAAACAACAGATGCTGGAGAGGATGCTGCGAAAAGGGAACACTTCTTCACTATTGGTGGGAGTGTAAACTAGTACAGCCTCTGTGGAAAACAGTGTGGTGATTCCTAAAAGATCTAAAAATCGGCCTCCCATATGACCCCGCAATCCCGCTACTGGGATTATACCTGGAGGAACTCAAATCACTCTATGAAAAGGATACCTGCACTCATGTTTATTGCAACATTATTTACAACAGCAAAAACATGGAACCAACCATGCTGCCCATCAAAAGAGGACTGGATAAAGAAAATGTGGTAAATATACATGATGGAATATTATGCAGCCATAAAGAAAGACAAAATTATGAACTTTGTAACAACTTGGATGGACTTAAAAGCTGTAATACTGAGTGACCTATCACAGAAACAAAGAACCAAGTATCACATGTTCTCACTCTTGAGCAGACCTTGAGCAACTGTTGCAATACTATAAGAAAGGGACTGGCAGTAGTGGGAAACTGCCAGGGGAGGGCGGGGGCAGGACTGGCAGTAGTAGGAAACTGCCGTTGGCATGGGGGCCCATACCTCATCAACAAGGGTACCTGCATAATGAACATTTGTATACCTAATCCTGTATTGTACCCCACATACTGAAAATGATTACAACATAAACAGTAATAGATATTGTTAATAAGAGAAAGATAATAATTTCAATCTTGAAAGTCTTAAATAATATTTACAGGACAGAAAAGAATTAGCATTTTGCTCTTGCCATACAGGTAAGTACACATGTCTGAGAATAACCACTCTGTGCTTTAAGTTATATATAACTTTTGGATCAACAATCTAGAAGCCCTGGCTGGGTGTAGTGGCTCATGCCTATAATCCCAATCCTTTGGGATACTGAGGTGGGAGGATTGCTTAAGCCCAGGAGTTTGAGGTTTCAGTGAGCTATGATGGTGCCACTGCACTCTATCTTGTGTGATACAGTGAGACCTTGTCTCAAAAATAAATACATACATACATCTAGAAGTCCTAATTAAGTTCTTACCCGATTATAACTCTCTAAGGAATTAAAACGAAAAATGGAGGGGGAAAATAAATGCCAGTTCAATATACCAGGATGCATAGGTGGAATATCCATGGCAGGTCTTCCTGACATCATGCGAGGATCCATGTAGGACTGCATCATGAGCCACCTTGGATCAAAACCCATAGAAGCCAAATGCTGAGGGTGAGGCTGCATGGGCTGATAAAGAGGTCTGTGTGGTGGAGGAGGGACAGTACCACTAGATGTTTGCGAAGGAACAGTTTGTGGAAGTACACCTTGCTGCTGCTGCTGCTGCCACTGCTGCTGTTTCATCTGTTCCTGAAAAAGCAAAATCTTACATCCTGAGATTTTAGTTTACGATAATTTAATAAAAACAATCATATCAGAAAATAACGGCCTGTTGTGAATTCTTGAAGGAAAGGAATTCAAAAGATACTTAAGTGAGAGTTGACCAAAGATCAAAAGATAAGTTACAACATTTTGTTTCACAGTAGACCTAAGCATTATATTGCACAATCTATTTCCTAGAAATAGAAGATGATGTCTATAAATGAGTCAGAATATAAAAAGGAATGACACAGAAGATCAAGGTAAATACACATCAATAAACTCTTGTTAAAAAGAATTTCAAAGGAAATTTTGTGCTTTTTGTATTACAGGTTTTATGTCTGGTTTCTCAGAATATTGAATAAGACACTGTTTTAATCACACATACAAGATAAAAATTTTTTATCATTACCTGCTGCCGCTGGAATCGTGGTGGTAAAGACTTCTGAAACTGTTTGAAATAGCCAGATAATACAGCAGGCCGAGGCTGAGACCCTGATTCTGGTTCTGTTTCATGTGCCACTGGTGTGGCTTCCTTTTCACCACGATTGCTGTCTTGTCTAGTGAAAACTGGTTCCTCCTCTGTACCCCAAGAGAAGATAAAAGAAGCTTCACTATACAAAAATCTATTGCATGTTTTTGTGATAATAAAACATTCCAAACGCTACCTATTTTTCATGTATTTAAATATCAATGTAACTCAATATTTACCTGTGGTTCACTAGAACCTATGTGAGAAAACAGTCTATAAATACTTGAAAATAAAGCACACAGGTTTAGTTATTCGACAACAGTGATCACTACCAAGATTCTTAAGACATACAAATTGTCATACAGTATTCTGTATAGAGTATCGAGTACACGACACAAAATGGAGAATGACATCCATGCAAAAAACAGCTTTCAGCCCAAGGGAACCCAGTCATATTCATTCTAGAGAATGTCATTTGTCACAATTATAAAACCATGTTGTTACAATCTTTTCTCAAAGGATGAATTTTAAAAAGTTTATTTGCCAATGTAAGAGAATAAAAAATCACATCTTTATTGCTTGTATTACATTCAATATTAAGAATGTTTTCAGGAGGCCAAGGCTGTGGTGAGCCGTGTTTTTGTCACTGTACTCTAGCTTGGGCAACATAGTGAGACCTCCCTGCAACCCGTCTGGGTCCTCTCCTACTGCGGGAATTTTTCTGTTATCTCAATAAATCCTGCTTTCCCACTTCCACGCAAAAAACAAAACAAAACAAAAAACCCACAATGATTTAAAAGGGAGAGCCAGGTACAGTGATAAGTGCCTATAGTCCTAACTACTCAGGAGGCTGAAGCAGGAGAGTCACTTGAGACAGGGCAACACAGTAAAACCTGTCTCAAAGAAAAAGAATGCTGTAAAAGGAAAAATAAAATACTGGAGGGAACAGAGTCATTTAGGCACTGACTTAAAAATCATGAGTCTAATGTCAGAATTTTTTAAAAAAGAAAAAAAAATCAGAAGTACATCTCACTCATAAACCAAGTTAAAATTTAACTGCTATGAGAAAACATGAAATGTAAATGAAAACAAAAACATTAATAAGATTAAAAAGAAAATGATAATTTACATAGTCACCAATGACAGTTAAATTAACTAATCAGGGTCAATACATGTATGCAGTGGTAGTACTAGAATTAAAATACGAATTTTCTTATTTCTAGTACACATTAACTATTAGACAATCAGATTCCGTAAGGTTTTAGTATGCATCAGTATTAAAGTATGACAATGTTTTCAACTTCTCTTATCACACTTTTGTGGGTGTTATGAGCAACATTCTTAAGTATTTACCCAATAAAAGCCCTCTACTAATAACAATGTCTCCCTAGATTAATATTAGAAAAAGTTGTGAAATTTCATTATCTTAACTAAGAAAATGATTCATGAGGGACTGATCACATTTTTAAGAAAGATAAAATATTCGTAATGGGCTGGGTGCAGTGGATCACATCTATAATCCCTGCACTTTGGGAGGTTGAGACAGAAGATTGCTTGAACCTAGGAATTCAAGTTCAACCTGAACAACATAGCAGGACCTCTTCTCCACAAAAAAAAAAAAAAAAAAATTAGCTGGGAATGGTGGCATGTGCCTTATATATATAGTCCCAGGTACTTGGGAGGCTGAGGCAGAAGGACTGTCTAAGCCTAGGAGGTCGAGGTTGTAGTGAGCTGTGATCCTGCCACTATACTCCAGACTGGGTGACAGCGAGACTCTGATTCAAAAAATAAATAAAAAATTCACAGCTACATTAAGAGCCAAATTTGGACCGGGCTCAGTGGTTCAGCCTATCATCCTAGCACTTTGGGAAGCCAAGGCGAGTGGAATGCCGGAGCCCTCAGGTTTGAGATCAGCCAGGGAAACTTGGCGAGACCTCTTCTCTACAATAAATAAAAAAATTAGCTGGGTGTGGTAGTGTGCGCCTGTACTTATGGCTACTTGGAAGGCTGAAGTGGAAGGATCACCAAAGCTCAGCAGGTTGACGCTGGGGTGGCCTTGAGTATGCCACTGCACTCCAGGTTGGGCAACAGAGTGAGACTCCAGCTCAAAAAAATAAAAAGTAAAAACAAATTCTGATAATTTCAAGCAGCAAAAGGGTTTTGTAGAAAAGAGCACGTAAGGTTTAAAAAGTTACAGCACTTCCACTTCAGAAAAGACACTGAAATAAAACCATTTTAACTTAAAGTGGTACCTTAAGTTCAAACTTTCTAAGTTAGCCCAGGTTTTATAGTATATGTGAACACCATTAATTAGTCTATAAGCCAACTTGGAGAATAAAATAGTTCATTAGATCTAGAAAAAGACTTTTAAAGTAAAGTGTAACTACAATAGGAAATTACAGTCTAGTAACATATCAACTACACCATGGACGCTTGCAAGTTAAAACTGTTAGAAAAATACATCTAAAATTATGAACCAGGTGCAGCAATTTAATTATGACAATCCAATACTCCCATTAAGCTCTATTCCATTTCATGGATATATGAATGCATGCGAAAAAATGAGATTTAGTTTAGTTAAACGTCTTAGAGGCAGAAAAAGGTAGGGAAGAATCAGTACTTGTGACTATGATGTCAATAAATTTTGCCAACAAAATAGAAATGAAGCTCATTTAATAACTTTGATAAACACTTTGGGTATGCCTATTAGTACATAAAATTAGAAAACACGCTCTAGCCCATATTTTATACTGGAAATGTTATCTTAAAACAATCACTTTTATTCTGATTATGTATGTTAAAAATATACAGTACCTACACTAACATAAAGCCCACTGTAAGGCTTAGATAAGAATTAACAAGACTACCGTACCTTTAGCACAGCTGTTTTCACTTTCTTGTTTTTCTACCATGGACTCTAAAGTGGGTTCTTTGGGTTCAGTTTTTTCCTCCACTTTTTCCTTCTCCTTCTCTAGCTCACATTCCTTTTCTTGTTCTTTCGTCTTTTGTAGTTCTTTTTCCTTTTCCCTCTGCCGTTCTAGTTCTTTCTCCTTTTCTTTTTTTCTTTCCATCTCCATTTCTCTTTGCTTTTCCTGCTCCTTCTCCAGCTCCTTCTCCTTTTCCTGCTGTCTCTCCCTTTCTTTTTCCCTCTCCTTCTCTCGTTCCTGTTCTTGCTCTTTTTCATGTTCTTTCTCATGTTCTCGTTCTTTTTCTCGCTCCTTTCCCCTAATCTCCTCTGGAGATGGTTGTTTTTCCACGATGCCAAGCTTCTCATCCAGTCGTTTTAGTTTCTCTGCACATGCTGCCTTCCTTTGTTCTTCCATTCTTCGCTCCTCCTCTTCACGCCGTTTACGGGCACGTTCCACTGCTGCAGAAATTTCTGACTGCTGTCTTCGTCTCTGCTTCCATATTTCATCTTCGTCAGGTACTTGCTGCTTGGGGGGAAAGGAGCCCAGTCTTCCAGGTACTGCCTGTCGATCTGGAGGTGGATGCTGAAACATTAAATCAGATGAGTATGAGAACTTTATTTCTGACTAATACTAGGTATCTTAGACTTGGAGAAGGAAAAAAAAAACTCATAAAAAACAAGAAAATTCTGATAAATATACACATTAAGATGAAACCATATAACATGAGGAATATATTAAACCTAGACAATTTACCAAACTAAGACCAGAATAACTAAAACAGCCTTCAATATTTACTTAATACATACCCACTTATTGTGCCAGATTGTTGTTTACCTAGTATTTGTTAAATAAAATTAGAAGTACAAGACTGAATCTCAAAATCTAAATTTAGAGACAAAGGAAATGTTGAGTGTGAGTGCTTTGCAACAGCAGCTGCCAGAGCTGAGGCCTAAGAGAGAAAAATGAAGGTTATAAATAGTCAAAATGATGACACACGAGGCCTGAGAAAACTGAGATACAGCTATAGCGAAAAAGCAGAGAGCCAAAGACACAAAGTGAAGAAGATGGAGACCGTGCTGTTAATCACACTCCAAAGGATAGGATATTCTTGCACATCAGGCTGGCTAGGGAAAGTTCTATCCAAAAGATCTAGTGTCTACACCCATAGTGGAGAATGAAAGAATCATCTGGGAGATTCAAGTTTTAATGACTGAATTTTCATTCACTGTGTTATAAAACAATGACTACAAGGCTTAAAATTACTGCCAATGGCCAGGCTCAGTGGCTCAGGCTATAATCCCAGCACTCTGAAAGGCCAAGGTGAGAAGATTGGCTGAGCCCGTGAGTTTGAGACCAGCCCTGGCAATTTGGCGAGACCTCATCTCTACAATCAATCAAAAATTAGCCAGGTGTGGTAGTGAGACCTGCAACTTGGAAGGCTGAGGCGGAAGGCTTGCCTGAGCCCAGCAGGCCGAGGCTACAGTGGCCAAGAGCATGCCACTGCAACCCAGCCTGGGCGACAGCGTGAGAAGACTCGTACTCAAAAAAAAAAAAAAAAAAAAAATTACTGCCAATACCTGGAGGAGGTTAAAAAATATTTAACATATCAACTTTCTTTTCTTTGAGACAGAGTATCACTCCGTTGTCCAGAATAGCGTGCAGTGGCAGATTCTTGGCCACTGTAGCCTCAACCTGCTGGAGTCAGGCGATCCTGCTGCCTCAGTCTTCTAAGTGGCTGGAACCACAGGCATGCGCAACCCGGCCCAGCTAGTTTTTTGATTTATTGTAGAGAAGGATCTCGCTAAGTTTTCTAGGTTGGTCTTAAACCCATGGGCTCAGTTACTCCTTTTGCCTCTACGTCCCAAAGTGCTAGGATTATAGGCATGAGTCACCACGCCTTGCAACATTTTATTTTTTAAGAGGTGGAGTTTCACTCTGTTGTCAAAGCATGCTCATAGCCACTGCAGCCTCGCCTACTGGGCTCAGTTGACACTTCCGCCTCAGACTTCTAAGTAGCTGGAACCACAGGCACATGCCACCGTGCCCAGCTGATTTTTCTGATTTATCACAGAGACGAGGTCTCACCAAGTTGCCCAGACTGGTCTCGAACCCCTGGACTTAGGTATTCCTCTTGCCTCGGCCTCCCAAAGTACTGGGATTACATGCTTGAGTCATCAAGCCTGGCTTGACTTTTTAAAAAATGAATGCATACCAGCATTTGCTAACAGTGCTGACTTATGCAGACCACTTAATTTCTCTCGTGATGACTAAGTTTCTTCATGCACAGTGCAGAGACAAGCTGAATGACTGAAATATGAAAGCACCTAATTTACACAGTAAACTCAGAGCAAACATTTTTTTAGGTTACTACACTGTCAATATAATTTACACAAAATGTGAGGCACATATCATAAGTGTGTTGTTTAGACAAATGATACACCTGTGTAACTACTGCTCCAAGCAAGACACAAAACATTTCTATCACCCTCTGCTCTCACACGTGACTCCAAGCACCCTAACCCTAATGCTGAGCTCTATCTTAGCATTTCATATAAACAGACAGATAAAGTTACATTCTCTTTTGTGCTGGTTTCTTCTGTTCAGTGTCATGGTTTTACAGTTACTTTGTGTGTCAGGATTTTGCTCCATTTTACTGGATAATGTTCTACTGTAGGCATGGTTTCATGTGGGTTGCTTTTCATTTTTAAACTATGAATAAAACAGCAATGAACATTCACACTTAAATATTTGTGCAAATACATGTTTTCATTTATCTTGATTAAAAAGCTAGGAGTTGTACTCCTGATCATATGCTAAATGAGGGGACCCCCCCCACAATCCAGAATTTATTTATAAAAAACTGTGTATTTATTCTTAAATGTTTAAACTTCAGCTTTGATGCGATTCATCTATAAAGATGCTTTTTCCCCTGCTCAAAACATTTTCTGAACTTGTCAATTTTGATGTCTTTTAGTGCTTCTGCCATTTTTTGTTTCACCTCTTCCACACTAGCAAAACATTTGCCTTTATGAACTTTCTGTATTGGAGAAACAAACAAAAAAAAGTCATTCAGGGTAAGACTGGGTGAATAGGAAGGGTGGGGCATGGGGTTCATGCTATATATTTAGTCAAAAACTGCTGAACACTCAGTGTGGTATGGGCAGGTGCGTTGTAATGGTAGAAGAACCAGTCACTGGTTTGCCATTAACTTAGGACGTTTCTTCCACAAGTCACAACACAACCTTCTCAAAACTTCCAGATAAAAACTTTGATCCGGAGGAAAACATTTTGAGTGTACTACAAGGGGCATGCCCTCCAAAAGATAATTTCAGGTTATTACTGGGTTCACCTTTGTATGTGTTTCATTTATAAGAAACTGCCAAACTGTTTTACTAAAGTTCCAAGATTTTACAATGTATGAGGGTTGCAGTTATTCAACATCCTTGCCAACAAATGGTGTCATCAGTCTTTTAAATTTGGGGGATGCAACAAGAGTACCTGCATGATTAATGTTTATATACCTAATCCCGAGTTGTACCCCACATCTCTATAATAAATAAGTAAATAAATAAATAAGACAAAAAAATTAGGAGTATGCAGCAAAATCTCAGTGTGGTTTTAATTTGCCTTTTTCTAGTGACTAAAGATATTAAACATCTTTCCATGTGCTTACTATGTGTATGTTTTCTTTTGTGAAGTGAACGTTCAAATCTTTTTGTAGGGCTATTTGTCTTCTTGTTATTCTGTTGTAAAGTTCCGAAAAATACAGCCCAGATATAAATCCTTGGTCAGACATATTAGGAATATTTTTTGTGCCACATCTTTGTATTTTGGGGGTAGATGTTTTCCTAAGTCTAACTCAGCAGTTTCTTCTCCTTTCTAACTCGTGCCCCAGGTCTTATCTAAGATATCTTTGCAGCCCAAAGCTCATAAAGATTTGATCTTCTACATTTCTTCTAGATATTTGAGTCTTATGTATACAACATTGCTATAAAGAGCTTTCAATGGCTAAGAGGAGAGGGACTGGTGATGATGACAGTGCTGGTTGTGGTATTTGATAACAGGAGGGGCTAAGGGAAGGCCTATGAAGATCCTTCATAACAAGAATCTCAGGAAAAGTGTCTTCCAGTTTGAAAACAGCAAGTAAAAATTTTAAGGATGAAGTACAAAAGTAGCAACAAAGTTTAGTGGTGAGAGCAGAGAGGGAGAACAGCAGATGAAATCAGAACTGTAGAGACCTGAAAGATCATGGGAAGAATCTGAGCAAGGAATCTCACATAGTTTTAAAAAGACAATGCCTACTATAGAAGAATTTGGGATGAAGTTGGCAAGTGAGCAGGCATGGATAGCCAGACCTGTTAAGAACCTACTGCAATAATTCAAGTGAAACATAACAGATGGTAGCATATGTGAATATATTTTGAAGGTAAAAGCGACATAGTTTACTGACAGACAAACTGGACATAAGGTAAAAAAGATGGCAGAGTTAAGAGTATGTCTAAGTTTCAGCCTAAGCAAATATGTGAATGATAATGCCATTATCTGAGATGAGGAAGACAGAGGAAAAAGTAGAACTGTGCATATGTAGGGCTGTACGCTATGGTTTGGATATATTAATTATGAGGTATCTACAAGTGGAGACTTCGAACTGTTGAATACATGTTTCTTGAAGTCAGTGTAATAGTTTTAGGGCTAAACATCTGAATGCCATGAGCATATAGAAGATAATGCTAGGGAAAGGATATAGATTTTAAAAAAAGACTAAGAACAAAGGCCTGAGTTCCCCAAGAGCCAAAGGTGTAGGAGGCCCAGAAGGAACACACAGAAGTGTTCAAGACAACAGTGTTGTGTCTCACAAGCAAGTAAAACAGAAAAAACAAAAATAAAAAAAGGCATGTTACAAGGATGGAGAAAGCAACTCTTTCAATGATGCAGCTGAGATGTAAGTAAGATGAAGACAGGAGAACTGGATATATCAAGTTTCATTACTGACTTTGAAAATAATAGTTCAAAAAGGTATGGTGGGAGATGCCTGAAGATATTAAAGAGAGAATTAGCAACAAAAGACAGCAAGTATAAATAGTGCTCTAAAACAATTTTGCTGTGATGGAGAATGGATCAAATAGGGCACACAGAGGGTGGGATGGAGTGGTGTTAAGAGAAGGTTGTGAGGTTTCTGTTTTTCTTAAAAGATGCATGATAACATTGTGGTAAGTGATAAAGGATGGGATCCAGGGAATAAGTAAAAAGGTGTCCTTGGATCAGAATTCCAAAAAAACTACACTAAGATTCTACTGATTTACAAAGTGCATTTGAAATTTGAACCTTATTGAAATGGCAGAATGATTCTTTAGAAAAATCACTTTCTAAATCTTTCAGAAAGTGATCCAGCAAAGACAACAGGAAGAAAGTCAGAGCACATGGGGCAATGAAATAGGAAAAACTGATCACATAGATATATCTTATTTTCTTAGTTAAATTTGGAGTATGCTTATCAGCGGACAATGACAAAGAAGACATGTAAGGGTCATAAGGTAAAAAATTGGTAACTGCTTCATAAAACTTATAAATAAATGTTTGATGTCTTTCCATCAAAAAAATAAAAAAATAAAAAATAAAAAAGGCTGAGCCAGCAACTTGGCGAGACCGCATCTCTACAATAAATCAAAAAATCAGCCGGGCATGGTAGTGCGTGCCTGTAATTCCGGCTACTCGGAAGGCTGAGGCGGAGGGATTGCTGGAGCCCAGCAGGTCGAGGCTGCGGTGGCCAGGAGCGGCCACTGCACTCCAGTCTGAGCGACAGAGTGAGACTCCAACTTGGGGGAAAAAAAAAGGCTAATAAAACATATAAACCATAAACCAGCATTTAATTAACATTTACCTGCTGTGCAAGCAACTTTGGAGGTGGCGGGAGATGTGAAGATGGTCCACGTTCCTATTGTAACAAAGAAAAGGTTTTTAAAACATAGTAAAATGTGACCTAGAACTACTGATTTGTTCATTCAATAAATATATACAACTTATCTGTTAACAGCTTTGGGACTGGGCTTATCCAGGTTATTGTCACAAAGCATAAAGTGTAATACATGAGTTGTTAAATCTGGGCATTCATATGACACAAAACCTAGCAAGAGACTATAATCACATCATTTTCTATCTCCTCTACCCAAGTAAACCTATCTGAATGAATTTGAGTAATACTGGAATCATTACTTAAATACAATTTAACTTATTCTGATATAATGAAATGTAAATCCAGCTACAGTATTGTTTAAGTCACAACAAATCGCAGGCATTTCACCAATGATCATGAAACTGAACTGTCACAATGCCATGACTGAGAGACTATTCCAGTATGTGCATGCAAGCCTCTGTATCTACTGGACAGACATCTGAATACACTGATTTTCTCAATGAGATCACAAGAATGCTCAAAGTAAACCATTTTTGTCCTTCTCTCTCTATCTTTTTTTGAGTCAGGGTTTCACTGTTACCCAGGCTGGAGTACAGTGGCACAATCATGGCTCACTGGTCTTCAACTCCTGGGCTCAAGTGCTCCCTTCTGCGGCAGCCTCCCAAGTAGCTGAGACTATAGGCTTGCAGCACAAAACCTGGCTAACTAATTTTTTTTTTTTGTAGAGAAGAGGTCTCTCTTCTGTGTTGCCCAGGCTGATCTTAAACTCCTGGGCTGAAGTGATCCTCCTACCTCAGCCTCCCAAAGTGTAGGGATTACAGGCATGAGCCACTGTGCTCAGCCTTCTCTCTTTTCTAATAAAAGGACATCACTCACTGCAGGATCACCTTCTAAAGAATCACTGCCATTTCAATAAAGTTAGAATCTCAAACGCACTTTGCAATCAGTAGAATTTTAGTGAACCCATTTTGGAATTCTGTACCCCAGGAAATCTGGCTGGGGATAGGTGGACCTCTGATTACTAAATTTTATTTATATAAACACACTTCTTTTCCTGAAATTTTTCCCAATGGCAAACTAGAATATTTATCTTGAAAAAGGTAACATCAAAAGCATTTGGAACCAGATATAATATATGGAACATTTACTTGTCAATATATGTATCACTGTCACACACAGAAAAAAAGATCAAGACAGGTTTTATGTATTCTCTATTCTTTCATGAAATAAGAAATTTTCATTCCTCATTATGGCAATAAGTAAAAAGTCACCAAAGTTTTATTAAAATGTTGTTTAAAAAATTCTTTTTCAGACATCATAAATTTATCCTTGAGTCACTAGTGCCTTAAGAATAAAATAAAAAATTATCTAGCACTCAACTTTATCAAAATTCTTTTTTTTTTTAGAGTTGGAGTCTCACTCCATCACCCAGGCTGGAGTGCAGTGGCATGCTCATGGCCACCCCAGCATTGCCCTACTGGGCTCTGGCGATCCTTCCACCTCAGCCTTCCAAGTAGCTGGAATTATAGGCGTGCACTACCAGGCCCAGCTAATTTTCTATTTATTGTAGAGATGAGATCTCACCAAGTTGCCTGGGCTGGTCTTAAACTTGCAGGTTCAGGCAATTCACTTACCTTGGCCTCCCACAGTGCTGGGATTACAGGCTGAACCACAGAACCCAGCCAACAAAAGTTCTTTTATAGCTTTCTTACCTCTCTCTCCCATCAAGCTACTTATAATTTCATGAATGGGCCATGTTTTTCATACTTCTCTCCTTTGTACTGTTCCACTGCTTGGTATTGCTCTCTTCCCTTTGTATACTGGCTAGTTCCTGCTTGTGTAAGAGTCAGCTCAGTACTAAGTCTTCTACCTTAACTGAATTCCCTAAGGACTCACTATGTGTCCTTTATCATATCACACATCACACTGTATTGCAACTGATACTTATTGGCTATGTTCTCCTTTCAAAGTAACTATTAGCTACCTCCTTTTAGCTCTCTGAAGGAACAATTAAAAACAAAAACAAAAACCAAGCTAGGTGCAGTGGCTCACGCCTTTAAGTCTAGCATTTTGGGAGGCTGAGGCGAGAGGACTGCCTGAGCCCAGGGGTTCAAGACCAGCCTGGGCAACATGGTGAGACCTTGCCTCTACATAAATCAAAAAATTAGCTAGACACAGTGGCACACACTTGTAGTTCCAGCTACTTGAAAGGATGAAGTAGAAGAATCACCTGAACACAGCAGGTCGAGGCTGCAGTGGACGTAAGCGTGCCACTGCACTCCAGCCTGGGTTGACAGAGTGAGATTCTGACTAAAAAAAACCCAAAAAACAAAAACATGCTGACTACACTTGAATTCCTTAATAAAGAGTTAAGCGGGCTCTCTTGAAGGCAGCCCTTTTAAATTTATTATATCAGAGGCAAGATCAAGTGGAAAGCATATTTCCTTTCTTTCATTTGTTCTTCAAAATGGTTCAGACTTTTGATATCTCCCTAGGATCTCCCTCCCAGATAGTGTACCATTTTACACATAAAAACTGACTAGTACTTGTTAAGTAATCATTAATCCATAAAGCACTTCAAAAATGTTCATTTTATTTTGGAAAAACAACTTTATCCCTTCACACTGCTATGTCTAAACTGTATCAAAACATTTTTTTAAAAAGATGACATTTCACTTTTTACTTGACAATTTCAGCTACTATATAGATAACATCTATTAATACAAAATAAAAATTAAGATGAAGATCCACAGTTATTCAAGAAAAAACATGCAGTTCTCTTTTTCTAAGGCCCCTTCTATCTCTATGATTATAAGATTAATTTATCCATACTATTTGGAATAAAAAGGCTCTCCCTAAGTTCAACAAACCTGATTAAATGGAGGTCCTTTCCCACAGGGACCTTTTGCTAATGGCTGGGCAGGTATCTGAGAAGATGATTTAGTGTTGCAAACTTCATCTGCTTCTTTTCGGTTTTCAGTATTTTCAGAAGCTTTTGAACTTTGATCCTCACTGAAGAATCAAAATGCAGAGAAAATAAAGTGAAGAGGACATACTGTATCACAGGGAGATGCACTTTCTCTCTACAAAAAGTTATTTTTGTATGATTTCAGTAAAAAAAGAATTGTATCAAGGAATGAAATGAGTTTGTGACCTAGTACTGCTGACTAGTTCATTCAATAAATATATACAATATATCTGTTAACAGTTTTGGAACTGGGCTTATCCAGGTTATTGTCACAAAGCATAAAGTACAATACACAAGTTGTTAAATCTGAACACTCACATGACACAAAACCTAGCAAGGGACTATAGTCACATCATTTTCTATCTCCTCTACCCAAGGAATCCAATGCAAATGTGACGGAGTAATACTGGAATCATGACGTAAATACAATTTAATTTATTCTGATATAATAAAATATAAATCTAACTACAGTATTAAGTCACAACAAATTGCAGGCATTTCACCAATGATCATGAAACTGAAGTGTCACAATGCCATGACTGAGCGACTATACCAGTATGCGTATACAAGCTTCTGTGAATTTTAAAAGCCCTATATATTCCTGAGTGATGTCCCTGTATTCCCGGAGAGATAAAAAGCTTCCATTTTCCAAGGCCCTAATGCTGCTTGCTTAAAATAAACCCACAAAAACCAAAAAAGAACTTCAAGGACATGAAGCAGCTGTAGTAACCCAAGGAATTTTTTCCCCAATTTTCAAAATACGGATCCAGTTAAGCAAATCAGTTTAAAATGGTCCCTGATACTGACTCTTAAATTATCTCCAATTAGGCCAGATGCAGAGGCTCACACCTATAATCCCAGTACTTTGGAAGGCGGAGGTGAGAGGACTGCCTGAGCCCAGGGGTTTGAGACCAGCTTGGGCTACGTGGCAAGACCTCGTCTCTACAATTAACCAAAACAATTAGCCGGGTGTGGTGGTGCATGCCTGTGGTTCCAGCTACCTGGAAGGATCGCCTGAGCCTAGCAGATTGAGGGTGCAGTGGCCACGAGCACTCAGCCTGGGTAACAAAGGGAGACACCAACGTAAAAAAAACAAAAAAAACAAAAAAAACAAAAAAAACCAAAAAACAAAACCACTCCAATTAGAGACAAGAAGCTTTTTAAAATATATTATCTTTTTTTTTTTTGAGTTGGAATCTCACTCTGTCGCCCAGACTGGAGTGCAGTGGCC